CAATAAAGAAATTTAGGTATTTATTTAGGTATTAGGTATTTATTAAAAATTATTAAGAGTTTTCCAAAGAAAACTTTTTCTAAAGAAAACTCTTAACATCAATAATTTTGGAACCAATAATTTCTCTCTCTTACAAAATCCTTATAGTGTGAAGTATACCAGAAAACATAATATCTTTTAGTTAATAAAATAACCATATTTGCGGATTGTAATTCATTATTGGAAGAAGCGAAAGATATAAATATTATGTGCTTTATATAACATACTTTATAGTAGCATTATCAAGCGAGATTATTGGTATATAGACTAAACATGATAACATATGAATTATCCTTTTAATATTATATTCACCCAGTTAACACGACCATTACAAATGTTTTTAAAGCTCTTAAAATCAATTTAAAGTTTATTTAAACAATTCTAAAAGAGTTTTGGTTGAAATCACTTTCATTGATTTAATTGCATACATAACTTTTAACTACAGTCTTAACGTGTGGTTCAAGCTATCAACTAAGTTCATTAAGTAAGGGATTATTAAGAAATCGATTTTAAAGAAATGTTATAAAAATATTAAAAAATTTTTGATTAAGCTGTTTTCAAGGTGTGTTTTTCTTTGATATATTTGTCTTGTTATATATACATAAAGTACATTCTTCATTTCTTGAACCAAAGAATCATTTTCTGCATTCATGTAATTTTTTTTTTGGAAACATTTCATGCAAAAGTGTCTTCATCAAATATCACAATAAAAAATAAATCTAAAAAACCTTATTAAATATTTAATAACTAACAAATTTATGATACAACTACCTGTGTAAGGAAGGTTTGGCAAAGTTAAACTTAAATCATATCACGATTTGTGTACATTACATTTAATTAATCATACGCACCGTTGTGCATTTAATTCAATGTTTGTGTTACTCTAAAATATCATTACTTTTCTATTTGCATAAATTTTTGGTTAAGGTTAACTTAAAATAACCAAGTTATATTGGCAATATGAAATTGTGATTTCGTGTTTTCATAAAACCATTGGCAAATATTTCCCTATTTAGTTTTTAGTTAAATTTTTAAAACATTTTTATATTGAAATTCGCGAACGTGCATATTTGTTTGTTTACATTTCAGCTTCTAAATAGATTTTTGCATATCCCACAAATTCTATTCCGTTTTTGAAAACTTTTTCGTTGCTTTCAGTATTATTAAAAATGAGGTAGTCAATAAATGCATGGCAATGTACACTATATGAAGCTTTTTCATGAATATATTTCAACCGAAAATTATTTATCCACCCAACGTGCAGTTTAAAAATGCATTATTTGGGCTAATAACATATATGAACAGGAAATTACAATGTAATCTGAATATAAATTTGTAAACAGAAAATAAGTTCTTTCAACCCAAATTTGATGTGCCAATAATGAAATCATTATGGGTTAAAACAGTGTAAAGTATTATTAAATTAAAATTTAACTTTCAGAATATTGTGCAATTTACTTTTAAACCTAATGCAATTACTTTAACTTCAGTGCAAGCTAATTATAAATATTTAAATAATTTTGTTAGAAAATATTTTTGGTCTAATAATAATTCGTGGTATTTATGTGTCCAGTTTTGATCACAATAAATTGTATGAGGGTAATTAATATTTTTGATAATAGTGAGAATATAGTGAGAATTTGCACAAAATTTAAGATTACTCCGGAATATCATAAAACTTTGGACGGGAAACCAGCGTTTAAAAATGTATGTCAGAGTGAGAAGAGGTAAATATCACTTATCTACTCTTAAGATTTATCTACAACGGACTATTTTCGAGTCTATCTTCTACACTTGACTTTCCTATTTCAGTGATATAAGCGTTAAAAATGTGGCATATTTTCTAAAACTGATTGTTCCAAACAATAGTATTTAAAAATAAGTTCATACTACTGTTTCAAATAGTAGTAGAAGTAAGAAAATTTGTTGCATTTTGCCACAAATTGTTGAGAAATCAATCAATTTTTTGGATAAATTTGCTGCCACTTATATCATTTTTAAAAAATTGATGAAAATCAATCTGCATAAGTTTTATGATATATAAATTTATTCAACAATTTATTTCCTATTTCGAAAAATTGTAAATATGTACTAATATATGTTCATCGTGAAATGTCAAATTATATTGTATTCATTTTATTTTAAAGTTTCCGAGTCCCCCATAAGGAAAATCCACCTGACAGTTCTATAAACTTGACCAGGTTCCTAACATTACAGGAGGACAACTAAGTCAGATCAGTGAGAAAAGGGAAACCGAAAATTTTTGATCTTTCTCTAAGTAAAGAAAGGCATTAACACATAAGATGGAACATGGTCTCCTCCTCATACTCAGAGCCACAACCTCGACAAAAGTCATTGTAGGGTAGACCCAATCTCATAGCATGTCTTCCTAATTCGCAGTGACACTTCAGTACAGATACCATGGTGCTAAGCAGGTTCCTCCTTAGTTGAAGTACCTGACCTAGATATCTGAAAAATGAGGTTCATCTTGGCTAGTATTGCTTGAGGTCCAGTATTGCTTGGCTATGCTCATATATTTTTGTTTAATCGCCAGTTTAACTGTAGCAAGTGGAACGCGTATATTTGAGAAGTGAATGTTAAGGAACAGAGCGCCTGCATAAGCAAGCACGTCTGCCCTACAATTTCCTGAGATATCCCTGTAACCAGGAACTCAAATAACCCAGTTTTCAATAACACATACCTGAAATTTTCATTATCCTACTACACTGGAGTTAAGTACCACTTAACTGTAACTTTTTTAATTGAAAGGACATCTGATTTATTTTTAAATATTATTATTGCAGTCTGCTATTGCAGTTTCTGTAGAAATATATTGGTTTCATTTGCAACTCACTACAAACCGCAATTTAAGGTAAATCACCATAAACATGATTTCAACCGCAATTAGAGTTGCTACTGCTGCTGCTAAATAAACGACTAAACTCAATACGAGTCAAAGGATCACAAAATTGTTTGCAGTTTGGTGGCAATGTTGTCCTTGCCCCGATGTGAGTGGTTAGCTATTTAAGCGCAATTTAAACTTAGTCATTGGTGCTTCGGTGGTGTTCAGTCAACTGCAAATTGTGTTTAAATGAAGCGATTTTATTAACTCTTGCTTATTCACATGTACCTCGTTTATACAACATCTTTGCTAACAAGCAAATGAACAAGGTGAAGTTTTCCAAACTTCATATGTGACTTGTTTTATACGCAAAATAAGCAGTTTTGCTCGTAAGCAAAACCAAATAAAAGGAAGAAAGTTTTTGAATGCGAAGTCAAAAATTCGCTAATGAGTATTTATATATATGGAGTGTATTTTCAGTTGTCATTGACGACAGCATTTACTATAGACAAATTAGATTTGTATATTGTGTAGATCTGCAATTAAGCGCTTTTCAAGTGTTTCGAGTGTTGGTTGCAGCAGGAATTTTAAATAATAAGAACAAATTTTTGATATGTTTTGATATGCATTTCTGTTTTGACAGTACTTGGGCACATGTGTAAGGAATGAATTTCTTTGAAAGATATTTGACATTGCCAATGACACGTTGCTTTTGTAATTTTTATATTTCCATTAAAACAGTTTTGTGGTTGCGAATCCTGCAGCAAACGTCAACACTTCTATCTATTTTTTCATTTCTTTGTTTATTCTGTTGTGATGGAAAGGAAATAGTAAAAGTTTCTAATGAGAAAAGTTCTAAGCGTGTACGACGGATGTAATCATCTCCATGACACTTTTACACTGTAAAAAACAAAACGCGAAAAAACAGTCTAAAAAAAATATTTATTAAAAAAATTCAAGAAGTAGAAACGGTTGTTTTGTTCTAAAATAAAACAAAAAACTTTTTATTTGTGTTTTTTCTCGAGCATAAGATATTTGAGTAGATATCTGTATCAGTACTTAGAGATAAGGCTTAAGTTTCTGTATTAGAAAGTTGTGGAAAAACAAGAGCGAATTATGCGAAAGAAAAATTTATGTTCTTTGATTGTTCTTATAGTTCTCTGATAGAAAGTTACCTACAAAATGGATAACAGATACAAGATACAAGCGTAGTTAAAGTTTTCGTGTGTTAAAATTTTTGTACATTCGAAACAAATATGTATATATAAAGTAGGTTCAAATAAAGTATTTAAATTTTAGCAGACAGAGAGGTATTACCATTTTACTTGTTATTTATTTATTTTAAAATTTTTGAAAACATTTATAGTTTCAATATTTATCGTCGCAATTTCTGACTGAACAAAATGCTAGATTTAATCAAAAGCAATTATTTTTAAATAATAGTAACAATTCTTTTAAATGTCTTTAAGGTGATATGATAATAGTTGTGTTAATATTTATATTATTAATGACCAATATGTACAGCGAATAGAATATATCTGTTGTTCAAATAGATAGCTTTGCTTTTAAGCATACTTTAAATATTATCTAATCTAATATACAGAATATTCACAACAACAAATTTCGTTTCCTAGAAGCAATTTACAAACTTAAATTAATTTGCGAAACGTTCTAGGTAAATATAGTAGACGTTTGTAACGATTGTTTAAATAAACGAAATTTGCAAACGAAAAACAACTGACATTTTTTTCGTTTTTAGTAATGAAATAATTTTTTGAATGTATATTTAAGTTTTTCTTTTTTTTTTTTAAATTTTGGCACATTTATGTTTATGTTTATATTAATGTTTATTATTCATATACTTTTATAAACATCTAACAGCACCATTTAAGCGATGAAATCTTTGTGTGTCGAGAGCAAAGACTAAAAGAAATGCACAAAATTTACAGATATGTCTCGGAAAGATTTGGTTTATTTAAGTGAATTGTATACTAATCAAATAAAATCTTTAAGTCTACCGATAAGTCTAGCGATAAGAATGAGTAACTAGAACCACTTCACAAGTGGTTCTAATGATAACTTGCAGATAATTACTTAATTTATTTATTAATATTAGATTTTAAATTGGATTCGTTGTTATAATTCTATAAGGCAATAAATTTTGATTAATTGTTTGAATAATAAAAAAAAAATATTTAAAATAAAACGACGTATTATATTTCATTAATATTCACTATTTTTTTTCCAATTAATAACTACTTTTACTCAATACGAGTACTATGAAATTTTAGAAAAGATTTGTTGTTGTGATTATATTAAGCAATAAATTTTAATTAGTTTTTGAAAAATCAGAAAAATAAGTAATTATTACTTTTTACTTATTATTATTTATTATTTTTAGTATTTATCTTAAAGATAAGTACTAATTCTATTCATTACTGTGAAATTTTAAAGTAGGTTAGTTGTTATATATAAATAACAGTTTTAATCAATTCTTTGAAAACTCACAAAAAAAGTTGAAAACAAAACTAGATATTATTTTTTATTAGATTGTAGTTTAACGCCAAGAACTGACGTTAGAGTACCTAAATATAAAAAATATAGTGACCAGCAGATCGTAGTAACATATCTCGTTAAACAAATATCTGAATATATTTATTTCCTCTAATGAGAATGATTATATATTAAAAATTATATAATATAGATATTATATAACTTATAACATATAATATATAACAAAATATATATTTCGCATTTATTTCAAAAATGTACTGAGATCCTCAGACAGCTTATATATCGTATCTTTAGCTACTAACCACCTCAAAATATTAATTAAAGAAAACAAGTTAAAAAGTTGTAAATATTTCTAATTTAATTAATTAAAATGGGAAAAAAAATAAATTTACATGTACTCTTGTTGTAGTTTGCACTCACAAATCTTCTAAAGTATACAAAAAAGGTACATCCGAAAGCGGAAGTCTGCTTTGCTCGACCATAGTGTTGCATTTGCGATTCGCTATTGGCCATTTGTTGAATAGTTTTTGCAGACACCTCGATGGATTTTGTTTCTATGCAAATGCGTATGCATGCAAACATTGTTGCGGTATTACTTACGGATACATGTGCATAGTCTATGCTTTTCTGCTTTTTTTATTGCATTCACTGGTTTACAATAGAACTAAATTTGTGGTTCACCAAAAACCGAAATTATAAATAACCATGGCTTGTATTCATTGGTGTCGTTTGAATTAAAGGAATTGGCAATGTCGATGCGGCTATGCATCGTTAAGGATTTGTGTTAATATGCGGCCAGACTCCGAATTCTATTCAGGATTTTTGTCCTTTATGTTAGTAGTACAATATTAAAATGGTAGTTTATCTTTACAACTGAAAAAAATTTTAACTTTGATTGCATTACTGAAATAAATTGAAAATTTTTAAATTTCAGAAAAGCTGACTTCAAAAACTATTATTAAGTTCTGGTTATAATAACTTGAAATTCTTGGTACAATATACATATATATTGATTTAAAATAATTTGGACTTAAAAGTTGATCTGTAGTTTAAGGAATTTATTTAAATGTGATAACAATTTTCAATATTAACTAACACCCAGTAAATTAAAAATGGAACCCTCTATTAAAATATCTTTATGGATTACCAGCCGTGAAGGTTTAACACCAAGGTGCATTTCACACACGTTTGGGTATAATTCGCCGATAAACGACCCATTGAAATAACACAGAACTCCACCGGTACCAATTGAAGATATACATTTCAATTGATCTTATCGTCCTTGGTGAATAGTGAGGCCCATCTAATACTTCTATCATAAGTCATAGGACCCGGTTGGAATAAAGAACTCCTGCATTTTAATCACAACAATCACGACACTGCCTTTAAAGAACCAACCTCTATTGATCAGGACAGCCGAAATTATGGATCTTAATCCGTGTGGTACCAAATTTACACCACTAGTCGGGTGTCACAAGTGAATCTCACTCACTACCAGTGATATTCTATATAGTACGGCGTGGTGTTTGATGGATTTCAGTCGCCCCTTATGAAAGACACACCGTATATCGGGGATATTCTAACCCCTATCCCGAAGGGTATCTGAGCAATACAACCACATGACTTTTATTTCTTGGCATAGAATTAAAGCTATGGATTTCATACATACATTGTGACCGAAAAGTTTTCGGAAATTCTCATTTAAAATTCGCGCGCTGTATATTTTTCGATATTTTAAGTTTATGTAGTTTGGCAGCACTGTCCTTAATTACTATGCCAAAAATGAGCGCGATCTGTCAGACAGTTCGTTTTCGGCAGCTGTTGAAACCAGTTCACCTCAGTAGTGCGTTGCGAAAAAAACAATGGAAAAAAATATTGAACAAAGAGTTTGCATCAAATTTTGTGTTTCGAACGAAATTTAGTGTGCAGAATCGTTGCGAATGCTACAAAAGGCTTATGGGGAATCAGTTTTATCGAAAACTCAAGTTTATGAGTGGTACAAAGCCTTTCAGGACGGTCGCACGACCGTCGAAGACATGCCGCGTTCTGGACGACCTTCGACCTCTACCACCGACGAAACGATTTGAAATCGGAGATAGGCAAACAGGATTCTGATCGTGTTAATCCTGAAATCCTCAAAATTTGTGAAGGGTGTTAGAGTATGTAATTTGTCCACCGAGTGTGCTTAGGATACCATCGTCGTAGCAGATGGCCTGATGCGTTTGGGCTTTTTTGGTGGAACAGATACTAAGGTGTGATGTGCGCCCACGTGTCAACGCCCGGCTTGTTCCGATTCACCTCAATTTGTTCAACATTATCAACGATTTTAAGGCCAAACATTCAATAAATACCATCGAACAGCCACCGTATTCACCTGATCTTGCACCGTGTGACTTTTTCCTGTTTCCCAACCTCAAATTACCACTCAGAGGAACGCGTTTTGAATCCATAGAAGACGTAAAACAGAATTCGCAGAGGGAACTCAAAGCCATACCGGAAAGCGCCTATAAAAAATGTTTTTATGATTGGAAGAAACGTTGGCATTTGTGTATCGCTTCTAATGGAGCATATTTTGAAGGAGATAA